CTAACCCATATTTCCGGATTACCAGAAATCTTGACCTACACCAAAAGTGAGCATTGCCCTACCTATAGGAGAAGTTTGGTTTCATTGGTGTGCATATTTGTTTTGTTATAGAGAACACTCTCATTGTCTTTGAAAGAAACTGAACAAAGGGCAAAAACTTTACCTTTGATTTTCTCAAAACAGCATTTTCGGGATAGCCTCTTTGTGCTTATAAGCGACCAATTGGAAAACTTTGAAATTAAATGTATCAGACGAAAGTATAATTGCGACCATCAACATCATTGCCTTTCTCACCCTGCCTCCGGGTATAGGCCACGGACAAACACTTTCTCACCCTACACCAGGTTATGGGCCACGGACAAACACTTTCCACCGTACTCTATCTTGGGATAGCCTCTTGATGTCTTCCCACTTTTCTGTTCATCAATTTTTGTAATTCTTCTCCAGGTTCTATGCGGTTTTCCTCTCGATCTTTTACCCTGTCAATTCCAATCCAACATTTTCTGAATTATGAAATTGCCTGACTTCCTGAGAATGTGTTCAATCCATTGCCACCGGCTTCTGTAACTGCTATAGGACTGTAACGGCTATAGAACATAATTATTCTGGTCTCGTAAATAAATATACCCTCTAAATCTTATGGCGTTTTTCTGAAAACCTGATTTTTGATGAAATAGAGAAACGTTACGCGAGATGGCTTTCAGATGGCACAGATTTGTCCACGTATGCACGTGGGACGAGTTCACATTTAGTAGGCTATTCTTTTGACCTCATAAAATTTCGAGACTCTTAGCCATGACATGTTATTAGTTATGCTCCGTAATAAATTCTTTCAGTGAGCGAGGCGTAGGCTGTTGCGAAACTCCAGACGTGTCGTTCTGGTTTAAATTATGCATCATGTGAGGTAAGGTCATAGTTACGATTTCTGTACCGCATTTAGGTAACACGATTAGCTCTGTGTTACCTAAGTTCATTAAAAAACAACAACCAGAAAGCAAAAAACAAACCCCCCTTAGTCCTGTCGCAAACGTAGCGCGTAGCTTCTCCCATAGACCTGTTGCCCTACATCTCCAACTGTCATGGCTGACACTCCTTGTTGTCAACTCCTGTGTGTCGGCCCTCTCTCGATGCTATTCTTTTTTTTTTGGGGGGGGGGGGAGATAAGTGTTTTACGGCGCTCGCAACTGCATTAGGTCATATGAGCGCACGGGACACACTAAACTTTTTCAGCAGGAAAGAACTTTTGAATTTAGCCCGGGTGGCGGCCGAGGCCTACTCTTATCGATTTTAGACCACCAAGGGATCTTTAACGTGAACAACTTGCTGACGGCCCTCTAAGATTTTTCACCCTTTTCCGAGAAGGCTAGGTGTAGATCTTTCCTACCAGGAAATCGGTGGAGTGGCTGACAGACAGCAGTAAGAAAGCCAAGGAGGAGCAGTAGAAAGGCTGCAGAAAGAGTCAAGGGCCCAGAGGAGGTTGCAAAGGAGATGAGGGGGGGGGGGGACAGTGGAGACGAAAGCAGACGATAAAACTGTTAGAGAGCAGGAAAGGATGTGAAAGGAGAACATTTTAGAAGGAAAATTTTCCGTCGCCACCCGGATTCGAACACGGGATCTATTGAATGAGAGGCGAACACCCTAACTTCTAGACCACGAAAGCCCCCTCCCCAAAGTTTGAACCACCGATACAGAGTGCTGACATCTAGAGCTTGGGTCTTGAAAACATTTTGGAAGTCTCTGAGGATGGTACTGGTGGTTTCTTCTTCTTAAACAAGAATTCTAGTCACTTTCTTTTGCTTGTGATAGACCTCCATGGGGGTAGCCATTTTGATATGACGTCATTCACGGGGGGAAAAAATAAAGGAAAGTGAAATGTTTTACAGTTTGAGTCCAAAAGTATATGGGCAAGTATTTGTGAGCTGAATGTCATACAATCGGGTACAACATTGTGCAAAATAGAGAACAACTTGCATTACATTTTGACTCCCTCTCGTATAAACTCTTTTCCCCTTAACCCTATCCGTGCGCCCTGGGGTCATTTTGTACCCTCGGGGTTGTATTCTTCACATTTTAGTAGTGCGAAGAAAACGAGTAAATTTCCTCTTTGGAAAGTGGTGGCACAGAGTTCCCCACCCACGCCGTATGGATACGATAGTAAAACACGACGTACGGATAGGGTTAAGTTTTGGCACAGAGTTCCCCAGGTCGTGACGATACGATAGTAAAACACGACGTACGGATAGGGTTAAGTTTTGGCACAGAGTTCCCCAGGTCGTGAGGATACGATAGTAAAACACGACGTACGGATAGGGTTAAGTTTTGGCACAGAGTTCCCCAGGTCGTGACGATACGACAGTAAAACACGACGTACGGATAGGGTTAAGAACAATCTGTGACTGCGGCACTTTGTGCCTCTGACCCCGTTAGGTCGTGTTCTCCGCCCCAGTTTTCTGGAGAACAATAGCGAGGTTGGTTCCTGGTTGCAGAGTTTCTGCACTCGTGGCTAGGCCTGGGCAATGAGCCGCTTTAGCAAAATCCGGATACTATGCTAGTGTACCTCTTCGACAAATAATATGCATTGAACCGCTTCGGCAAATGGGTTAGAACCATTTCGACAAGCGGGTAGCATAATTTCAACAAATGGGTGCACCCACTTCGGCAAACGGGTCAGGAAAAAAGAGAGTAGAGAGTCTGAATTCGATAATGATTTATTGAGAATTGTCCGGTTATCCTTATAGATTATCCGGATTTGGCCCGCCTCTACTCGAGGCCCACCACCTGACAGTTAGAGGCAGCAGCGACAGATAAGAATTGGGAGCCGTGAAATACAAACACGCCGAGATAAGGGTGAGTGACCTTTCTTCAATAGAGGTCAACAGCGTATCAGATCAGGACATACTGATCTAGGTTTGTTGACCGCTATCTTCAAGGGGGAGGGGGGGGAGGGGGAGGAAGGGGTGGAGAGGGTGCACACGTCAGAGTTTTGTCCGAGGCAAGTGATTCGACAAAATCTTATCGTTTCTGCACCTGTTGCCTTTAATCTTTCGTCATTAAATTGTGTGAATTAACTCAGACAGATGTGGGATTCAAAGAATGTAGTAGACAGTCGTAGCTGTTTATAATAATAATGATAATACTACTACTACTACTACTAATTATTATTATAACAATAACAATAATAACAAGAAGAAGAAGAAGAAGAAGAAGAAGAAGAAGAAGAAGAAGAATCATAATCATGATAATAATAATAATAATATATAACATTTATATAGCGCATTTCCCCCCCCCCCCCAAAAAAAAAGTAGCTTATACTCCCCCATCGACTCTGGGATCATTAAGGACGCCGGCTCTGACCCTGCCTGTGTGAGCTAACCTGGGCTGAGGGAGAATAACTTCCCAGCAGACAGACTGAGATACTCCACACTCCATACACATTCTGGGAATCGAACTCGGGTGGTCTGCGTGCGGCAGTGAAGGGCCTTACAGCTGTCATGTGGACTCAGTCGACTTAGGAATTTATTTGTTTGTTTTACAAGAGGTTTTACGGTGCTCTAGGGTCATATGACCGCCAGAAGATTAGAGGTGTTACAAGAGAGTAACGAACATAAAAAAGAAGAAGGGGAGACAAGGACGATAGATGTTTGATAGGAAAGAAGAATCAAACCACACCAGAGCTCCCGCTAACCAACAAAAATAAAAGCAGTACTAGCAGCAACAACAACAACAACAACAACAATAAAAGCAGTACTAGCAGCAACAATAACAACAACAACAACAATAAAAGCAGTACTAGAAGCAACAACATCAACAACATCAACAACAACAACAACAACAACAACAACAA